TAGGTTCCAGTGTGTGGTTTGTTGGTTTTGCCCCTGTACAGATAATTGTGTCCCTTTGTTTCTGGTAGTAGTTTTAAAGAATTGCTGTTGAATCCAGTCTATCTGATTTGAGGGGAATGCTAGTAGTACTTCACTTCACAGGGTTTGGTTTCATGTATGCCAGATGCTGGCTTCCATAGGTGGCATTTTTGTCAATCCTCCTATTTTACTTTTACTCTGCTTTCTCTCAAAAATTACAGTAATGACCCTGATGTTAAGATGATAGTCACTGGTAATGTCCAGTCATAATTTATCACTATGGAATTGCATAGCTTCCCCCATAGTTCCGCCTTTTGAATTAAGGCCCTGTGATCCATCACATACCTTTCAGAATGGCTGTCATCCAAGGAGGCTCTGAAGTAGTTCATCTTTAGCCTGAGTTCTCCTAACTGCTGTGCAAATGTGGACTTGGAAGCTGCAACTTAGACCTAAACATTCATCGGAACTGCATCCTCTTTTGTTTCTGACCACAAGAACATCTTAATCCATCTGACGAAAACGTTAAATACAGCTGAAAACCAGAGTGAAACTGTCCTTACTTTGAGAAGACAGAGCATTTGTTAAGGAGCTTGGAGCTTTGCTTCAATGAGGCTTTGAGAAATCTGAAATGACAAGCCATCTGAGAGAGGGTGAAAGTTTAAATAGTCACTTTTCCATCTGAGTGAAACTCTGGTTTGATTCTTTTTTTTTCTCAGATGCAGGATGGAGGTGAGTGACAAATGGTTTGGCTGGATGAAGTTTAGTATTCTGTCCTCATTCAATAACACATAGCACAGCAGTAAGTTTTATTTCATTTGTGGGATTTTTCGGCAATTCCTAAGCAACAGTTGGAATTATTCCCCACTTTTCTTAGGATTGAATACACCCCTGAAGAAAAGACCTAATTCTTTAGGGATGAATCTTAACACCTTTAAACTGGTGTTCATTCTCCCCTTCTCTTCCTCCCCCACCTTAATTATGAGCAATTGGGTGGTAGTAATTAACAATCTTAGAGAGAAACATCTGCTAGTACACTTAAGCCAGTAAGTTTGTTTTTCATGAAAGAATGGTATTTCACAATTTTTCCAAGTTAATATTTTTCCTTTATTGTCTTTCCAGTTTCAAATATCATCCAGACGCATTTTTATAGTGTCTTAAGGTTACAGAAGTGAATACAAGACCATTAATAATGAACAAGAAAAGAGAACATCATAAAGAAAACATATGCGCTATTTCAATTCATGAAACATTCTGTTAGGGAACATTATTTTTGAAAGCATATGGCTATTCCCATGAGAAGAAATATATATATTTTTTATTTTTTTTCCCCCCTCCAGTTGTGGATTCCCACAACAGGCATATTTTTCTCTGCATATCCGTCTGTGTAGCGCATTCTCTTTGTCAGGACTTGTTATTTGAGTGGGGAGGCAAGTAAGTATCTTTCCACAGATGATATGTGGACCTATTTCTGATGGCCTGGACTTTGGAAACACAAGTCTATTAATTCTCCGCACTCCTTTGAGATAGCTGTCTTGTCTGGTCTAGTTTAGTATCATTGGCAGAGCTGAAAGGAAGTTCACATTGTGAATATATCTGAACCTTGGCATGTGGCTCACTGATGGAGCTCTGTTTACAGGCTGCTAGTTTTAACTGTCCCAAGCAGACATTCTGATTTTATTTATAAGTAGGTTCACCATGTGTTTGTATCCTTCATGAAATCAAGTGCATGTCAATAGTCAAAACTAAGTATAGAAACAAGATACCAGACACCTACCCTTCCCCTCCCAGACAAAACAGTCATACTCCATTATGGATTTTTAAATGTTCATTGAGTTTGGATAAGGCACGTGAGGATATCTGCACAGACACATTATTTGATCACTCATAAATATTATTTAAATACCTCCATATTCCCCTTCAAACTTTCCTCATTTATATTTCATTTCTCATTGCTGAATGAAGCTTGACATCAGGATGAGATCACCAGATTTTCCCATTTCATGTGAGCTCCAAAATGAGTAACTGATTTCAAAGGATAATTCCCCAGAGCAACAAGGCCAGTAAGTTCTTCAGATCAAAGGTCAGCAAAGCTCAAAGAGGATAATTTCTGGCATACAGTATTTAAACTCTCTGAAGGAGTGTACTGCAAGATGTATCTCCTCCTTCCCCAATAGTTGAACTCTTGTTTTTTTGAGAAGACTAATTTGTCAGAGCACATTTTTTCTCCGTTACATAAATTATACATTAAAGTGAAAGCTTCCTATCTGAACACACAAACTGCACATACAGAAAGGTTATTAAACATGCCAGTGGAAGGCCTGTGCCTGAAACCAGAAGGTAACTCTGTGCCGTTCCTCTCTGAAGCACCCCATGGACTGGGGAACTCTGGTGCTCTTTGCACATGCCAGCAGCTTTCAGCACAATGCAGGAGCATGGTGGTTTAAGAGAGGGAATGCTCTGTGAGATGCTTCGCTTTGATAGCAGAGCCCAACAAAGAGCAGGGAACAGTCACCTTGTGTAGGATCTGCTCTTCATTGCTCTCAGCCATGAGAGCATGCCAAGCCAATGTATTGGGGGTGCTGTCCCTTAGAGACAAAAGACCACTGTGGAAGTCTTTTGGCCAATGTGTACCTTTATACACTTAAAAGTATGTGTGATAAGAGGGATGGATTTTCTTTTCAATTGGTTGTCCACTGTTTCAACAAACCTGGGGGTCATACCAGCCCACCTTTCATTTATTTCATGTTCCCTAGATCGAGATTGTGAGGGGTTGCAAAAGCCCCTCATACAAATGTTTTTGTCCTCTTAGAACTGTTCATGTGAGAAACTGGTCACTGATACAAATGAGCCACTGAAAGTCTAGGGGCGTATTTAATAGTTATGAAGAATCGCTGTCTGTGTAACCATCCTTGTTGTGAAGTCGCATGTTGACTTTCAGTTTCTTGCTGTTTTTAGAAGGAAAACACAAGGGTGGACTATGTAGACAAACAATGTTATCTCTTGTTTTATGGGGGTCTTTTGTGGCCTTAGCTTTGAACTTACAGGAATACGGAATTGTATTTATGGGCAAAGTCAGTACAGAGCAAATGGCCCTTCTACACATACACTTCAAATTTCTGTAGTGTAAGTAATATGTATTTTAATACATGCCTTTGTTGATAAACACTATACAGAACCTCATTAAGAAACATCCCTGCTTGTCCGGTAACACCAGGTTAAAAAGACAAGGGAAGAAACAGCAATGAAGCAAGCTTTCTCCTCCTTCAGCTGACCTTCTTGCTTAGCTTATGTTTGGTGTGGAGAATCCTAACATGGCTTGGAGTAGAAATCCAAGTGTGTCAGTGTGTCAGTATGTGTATCATAAATGTCATGTCTACTTGCATTTGTACAATGCAAGTTGCATGTCTGTGTTGGGAAGCTGGCATTAGTATAATGTCAAGCCTGCAAATAAGTATCAAAGTCAGGAAATTCCAAAGGTTAGGGTTTCTAGCTCATTCCTCCTTTCTTTACTTTACATTCAGAATCTTTCATAGTATACCACAGTTTCGAAACCAACCAAACAAAAAAAGTAATACAATAATGTTAAATTTAAAAAAGGCATAAGACAAGAAAATGTGATATATATTGTAGCATGGCAACATGAATATTGTGGCAGAAATCTTAGCTTTTGGAATTTCTGAGAGTATAAAGCTTTGGTAAGGGTAGATTTTATATATATATTTTTTAAAGGTAATTGTTTGGTTTTAAATGTGAAAGAAAATGGTGAAAAATGGCCAAAATCATACCTTAGTTTCTAGCATGTTAGTGACTTGCTTTCCTGGGAGAATGCCTGGGAGACACCTGAGAGCACTGCTGAATGCCAGGAGGGCCGGTTTTAAATGGGTCATCCTGAACTGGAGGGATCATGTCCCCTTCTTTGAAAGGAATCTGACTTTACTGAACTGGCACTTCCATGAGATCTTACTTACAAAGGTATCCAAAGAAATGGCTCCTACATAACATTAGAATAGAGACTTTGGATAAATGCAGATGCTGCAGTACAAGGGAAAAAGTGCTGACTTTAATACCCCCATTCTCACAATATTTTCTGTTTTTTGGGGAATAGGCATGATTACTGCTATGCTGAATAGGTATGAGCATAACATTGTTGGCAGAGGTATGTGGATGTATAAAAAATAAGGTTTTGAGGCTATGGTTTAAAGATCTGTGTATATTTTCATACCACTGATTCATATAGAATTAATTTTCTTCAGGTATACAGCTTCACCATGTGCAAGGCTGCCTGCCTTTGCAGGAGCCAAAGGCATGGCTATTAAGTTCCTGGGCATTTGTCTTTTAGTCTGCAAGAAGTATATCTTACTGTTACATATCTGATACATGTTATGTGTTGTCATATATGTCTGATAGATGTTAACTGATTCTCTTTATGAGTGCTGTTGAATTATACAAGTGCATGATGTTTTGACCTGAAACTTATGTGAAATATACTTTTTCAGACATACATGAAACTATGCAGATTAATCTTTTTAGCAGGTAGCGTTACCTTCTTGGAAGGTAGTAAGGTTTGTGTGTATTTGGAGAGGGAAACTGGAACAGAATGAGGAATTCGTTTCAGCTTCATTACTTCACTCACTGCTGGTGAATGCAATGTGGTTTTGCAGTATGTCACAAACTTTCAGTATTTTGCAAAGTATTCAACTTATTAACAGTAACTGTTCTGCTGATTTATATTCTTATAATACTGTGTCTGAACTTCCTGTGACTCGTGATGTTTTTAAGAGGCTGTGTACCGAAAGCTGTTGGTAGATTGTCTGCTGAAATTATCCCAGATGTGTAGTGAACAAAAAAGCAAATCAAGTATAATGATCCTCTCAAACAAGTTTGCTGAAATCGATTTCACCCTATTTATAAAGACAGATTTGCAAATAGAAGACTGCTTTGGCATTTCCTCATAAGTTTTTTGTTAAATACATTTTTTGCAGTGGCTTTGCCTCCAGAGAAGACAGATGGAGTTTGCAGTGGAGATGAAAAGAAAGTAGAAAAAGAAAATGACACACATACAGGTTCCAAGAAGCAACTGAAATTTGAAGTAAGTCCTCTGTATTTAAAAGTTTCACTATACTGACAAGCATTGTGGTAAAAAAATAACCTGTGGAACAAATAGTCTCCTATGATGCATGTATATAGCACCTAATGATTGTAGTGGATGCAGGAGGGAGCAGAATTGGCACAAGTCAGTGTTTTACTCCTGATGCTCCTTATGAGGCGATTAGTGAGATTTGTTTCCAGGTTTGGATTCTCTGTAGGATCTGAAATGTGTAGCAAGAATAGGCACTTGCTTTAAAGCTTTATCTCTGAACCTTTTGTTAGTAATTCATTATGCCAGCTACCATATTACCAAATCCTTATATTGACTTTCATGGAGAGTTGCACTTTTTTAAATCTGCTTAGTGTAAAAGATGTTTGTGAAAGCCGCTCTAGCCAGTGGTCTTCAGTGCCTGGGCCTTCAGAGTGGAATAAACCTGATGCTCTACACTGGAAATCCATCTGATCACATGACAAGAGGAAAAGAATCCTGCAGGGCAATGAGTCTGATAGTTTATTTCCTTGTGGACTTACAAACATCATAAAACTGCCAGACATTGTGTGTAGTTGGCAGGTTTTGTTTATACACGGAGTGATTTAATAAATATGAGCATTGAAACATGCTGTCATTCAGCTAGAGGGTTGTCTGTGAGGAGGAAGATACTCTGGTACCAGCAAGAAACAGTGTGAATTTTCATCTGTGTGCACTCCAGCAGATGTGGCAAACTTCTGCTTTTCAGTGCTGTCAGCCTGTCACAGTAATGAGCTTTGCATTGCTCGACTGTTATTTAAAAGACAATGCAGCCACCTTGCAGCAGCTCAACTGTTCATTTGCTTCTCTAGGGCAGATTTAGGCATCTGGTACAATTTATTTTTTACTGTTTTAAAGCTGATTAAAGGAAGGTAGCTTTCCCATGGCAGTTCAGGTGTTGCTAGGTGCTTGTGTGCCTTCTTGGGGGAGGTGACTTTCCTGCCTTTTTTTGCGTGGCATATTTTATGTACTGCCTTGGGTAGCAGATATTTGCAGACAGGAAAGGCATGATAAACTGCAATTAACAGTGCCTTGATATTTGGATGTTGGAGGGCACCTGCCAGCATGGTTGGTGCCAGAGTAGCTGGAACTCCACTGTGCCGGCAAAGTCTGTGTTTGTTCCCAAGTAGTTCTTGGCATGCCATAAAGGTTAGCACTTGGTACTAGGCACTGTGACTAATGCAGGGAAGGTTGCCATGGCTGTTCACTAAGCAGAGCACATCCTCACATAAAGCTGTTATGTTAGGCAATGTGGAACAGGGAAGTATTAATATGTGGCAAGAAACAAAGTATTGGTATTTTTTCCCTTGTTCTACAATGAAAGTTTTCCAGCTATGTAAGCTAGGAGCCAAGAGATTGGTACACGTTTCAAAAATATGAAAGAATTAGAAACGCAAGTGTTGAGTCAAGAGGTCTAAATCTGAGGTGGATGTGATTTTGGCTTTTAAAGGTGCCGGGAATGTTTATGTAATATGAAGCTGTGTTTCCACAGTAGAGTGTGGGGCACTTGGCAGCTTTCAGCCAGGCTTGTTACAACTGAGAGAAGACTGCCTTTCAACTCAGCAGGGGACAGGAGGTACCGGTAACTGCTGTAGGGAATTGGTTTCAAGTCAAAAGATCAACCAGGTATTTTGAGCTCTGTCATGCTGAAGCTATTTGGAGCTGTTTATTTTACTTGCATACAGTGGCTTTCATTTTAATTGCACTGTAACTTTTCTGTTTTGCTTTTTTGTGGCTCTGGATAATTTTGCTTGCACAGGTCTTGAGAGAAAGCAAATGATTTGCACCCAGGTGACTGGAGTCAGTCAAAGTGCGTCCTTTGTTCTTGACTGAAATCTTGGGCTTGCTTTGAGGGTTTTTCTTCCCTTTAACAAATTGATTCTTTCAGGCTTTTGAGAGATCACACCCTCACTAACAGAAGCACAGTTAAAATAAGGGTCAGGCACTACTCCCAGGTCGTTCTTAGATACCAGTTCCTAGGCAGGCTCCATTTCAGGGGCTTAGTGACATGATGCTGTACTGCACTAACAGACAACCTTGGGTATCAAATGCCTGCATCAAGGACAGGTCTCACTGGTGGGGATTTGTGGCATAGGCCCAGTCTATTGATGGCTACTCCTGGCACTGTGGTGTACTTCCTTATTCTGTGGGTCTGTTTCTGTTACCTTTCTTTTTGCGAGTTAAGCAGTGGTCTTTCTCACTTTTAAGTGGGAAATGTTGCTATATTTGAAGAGCTTCAGGGGGTAGTTTTCTTACATCTTTTTTATGTTTTCTACAATAAAGTAAAAAGCATCTGGCCCAAGTGAGTTAGGATTATCATGTGACTGTGATGAAACTCCTTCACTGTGGTGGACAAGAGGCCTCTCCAGGACATATCCTGAAAGCTTCCTCCCATGAGAGGGAGGAAGAAAGCAAGCGGCCTCCTTCTATGGAGTCTATTGCTTTAGGTAATCAGGTGCTCTTTGAATGTTTCTTAGGAATTGCAATGTGATGTGTCTGTAGAGGAAGATAACAGGCAAGAATGGACCTTCACACTGTATGACTTTGATAACAACGGAAGAGTCACACGTGAGGTAAGCAAAGTACTGCTGCCCCTTTGTGTGCAGCATCTGCTAACAAGAGATGTGTTTTATAACAGGAACATTTTTTTCATCTATGAAATAGAGGTGTCCTGCCAACTTAAACAGCAGTTTCCATGGATCCGTCCCTCCTAGAAACAATCCCACCAGTAATTTACTGTTTTCAGATGTACTGTACATCTTTTTAAGCTGGTTGTTGTTGAATACCTGGGATTTGCCTGTAAAAAATAGTACTGGCATTTGAGGAGGAAAATACCTGAAACAACTAAACACATTGTCAAAATAAACCCCTGCCAAGAGCTGGTTGAAAGGAACAGGGTAAATACTGAAAGAGTAGTGGCCTTAGACTCCAAATGAGGGCAGAATTTTTTCCTAAAAATATTGTTCTGGCTTCTATCCTGCTTTTCAGTTAAGCTAACCAAAGAGCAAGGTTGCTTTCTGACATTCTTTCCAGTAAGACTAACTATACTGTTCTGTTGTTTTCATGAATATTGGGCTGATCCCTGCCTTCTTCCTCCAAGTATAAATAATGCGGACGATATTTGCTGGAGGACAGTAGTGAAGGGCTGTCAAAGCATACCCACATATATTTTTTATTGCTAGGATGTCTTCAAGTCATATTACCTGTGCAAATAAGAAGCCAAATAAGAGTATGTATAGATAGAACACGGTCCTTTTCCAGAACTATTTCTATCCAAATTGAATGATACTTCCTCTAGAAGAATGTCCTTTACTGAGATATACTGCAATGTGCTGTCATTTGTGTTTTGGTTTTTTTTTCTGGTGAGGTGTGTTTGCTCCCATGCCTTCAGATAATCAGCTGAAAATTGACAGGTTTTCTCTCTCCTGGCTGTTGTGCTGGTGTCTGTGAAAATCGCCAAGAGCTGGTTGAAAGGAACAGGGTAAATACTGAAAGAGTAGTGGCCTTAGACTCCAAATGAGGGCAGAATTTTTTCCTGAAAGACTGAAGCAAATTTCTTCTGACATTTATGAACAAATTCCAAATGTGGTGGATGTTCAGGGTTTTTAATATGTATATAAACATCATTACTAGGCTTTTTTATTATCTCTGCTCTGATAGTGCTTTGAATAATCAAGTCTGTGTCCCTCATGCAAGAGAATTGGCAGATGAAAAGTTACGGGCGACGTCCAGAGTTTCAAGTAGGAAAATGGGATATATAGAGAGAGGTTAAGGAGAAGGGGCTAGCGAAATGAGGAAGTAGTACTGTATTTGTTAATGTATGGGGAACAGAGACCAGAAAAATTAAATAACTCACCTGAAGTCTCACAAGAACCTAATGGCAGATTGAACCCAGGTCTTTCGAGACCCAAGGCTTAATCTTCATTATAAGATTATCACGACTCTGGAAGAATAGGGCAAAAATGCACAAAACCCAGACCCACGCACATGGGTGTCCTTTACATTCAGGCATGGAATTCCCATTAATGTCAGTGGGAGTTCCATGTGCCGAACTTAACGAGAATGTGCTTTCAAGTATGTATACAATAATTATTTGTGATTATGTGGTACACCAAAGAGCTTAATTTGACTGTACTTAGAGAATGTATTACAGCCAAATTCTACCTCTTAGTGCTCCAAGAGCAGGCTGCAGCTTAACTGAAACCAAATCTGTTCAGGGATTGAAAATCATACTACTCTGAGGTCTGGAGGTTGCAACATTCAGGCTTGAGCCTGTGCCAAAAAAAAAAAATCTTTTAACCAGGGGACCAAATAGATTGATCATTTTCAGCTCTTTACATGTGACCAAAGATAGATAGTATGCACCATTGCAGAGTTTTTCAGTTATGTTACACACTTCTTTTGCAAGCTGTTCCAGTGCCATTGTATCATCCATCTTGTTGGTTGTCTTCTGTTTAATCCAGATGAAATTTAAGAGTTGTTTGTGCAAGAATGACTAATGATAGCAGCTCGTAGATAATCTTGGCCACAAAAGAGGAATTTTAGTCTCTTCATGTGACATAGAATTTGTTGTTCTATTAGACTCAGAGAGATTGGCACTCAACATAATGGGCCTGATACTGCAGTTTATTAAGCAGCTCTGCTTCTGATCCGGGAAAGGACTTAACAATGGTGAACATTAAACATGGGAATAATTTGAATTAAAATGAATGGGACACATGCTTTGAATTAAAAGTATGCAAAGCACATTGCTGGATCAGGGGCAGAACAGACAGTCTGAGGAAGAGGGCTAGCTCTACCAGTGCCATTTAGTGAGCTGATGAAAATGCTCTCAGCTGGTCAGCTTGTCTAAACAAAGGTCTAGTGTTCTGATGAGAAAAGCTTAGTGTTCACCTTTTCTCCTTTAAAAATGTCACTTTAATGTCTCCTGGATTTATAGTTGGATTTAACAGGGAGATGAAATTTCTTAAGTTAGATTTCTGTCTGTAGACATTGAGGTGCTGTACCAAAAGGAGTCAGCCTTATCATTCTATTTTTCATCTTGGTAAAGATAGACACTGGAAAAGGATGTGACTTGCCCACCCACATCACAGAATCACAGAGTCACAGAATGCTTAAGGTTGAAAAGGACCTTAAGATCATCTAGTTCCAGCCCTCCTCCCAAGGGCAGGGACACCTTCCACTAGACCAGTTTGCTTCAAGCCCTGTCCAACACTGCCAGGGACGAAGCATTCACAACTTCCTTGGGAAGCCTGTTGCAGTTCCTCACCACCCTCACAGTAAATAACTTCTTCATTATTTCTAACTTAAATATCCCCTGTTTAAGTTTAAACTGATTACCCCTTGTCCTGTCACTACAGTCCCTGATGAAGAATCTCTCTCTGAAATCCTTGTAGGAACCCTTCCATTTCATTTGATTCAGTTATTGTGTTTAAAATACGGGACTTCATGTCCATAGACTTTCTAAAGGAACAGAGAGCATTAAGTTTGTAAGAGACATGTGGGTGGAGTGCAATTTTACAAGTGCACCAAATGTTTTTTTCATTAAAATATTTGAAAATTGTAAATGAGATACGGATTTAGTTACTGGATAAAATTTCCCTTGGGCTTTACACAATGACAGATCACTGCAAGAGCATTCAAATTCCATCTTAGTGGAATTTCTTCTGGATCTTAACAACATCTTCAGAACCTAATACTGCTTTGATTTCCTTCTACAGTCTACATGACTTATTCATAGCCCTCATAATTAGAAATCCAGATCTAGTAAAGCTTCTTGAAGAGATACACCCATTATGAAAGCATAATTATTGGGATGGCAAATCATAAAATTGGCATTACTGTATATTGTTAAACTACTGCTTTTTCTGTCATAGAGGCCCACAATTTTCAGTCGTTTTAGTTTAGTGGGAAATAACTTTTCCTGCTCTAATGTGTATATTACAAAACTTGGCTAATGATGTTTCCCTTCATTCCATAAGCCATAAGAGGACAATTCATTATGTATTGTAGGCCTTTTTAGAACTGACAGCTGCACTGTAATTATCTTCACACAGATATTTGTAATCGGACTTGAAACTTGGATAATTGAACTAATGTGTTTTGATCCATGAGTTTTTATATTGAGCTCTCTGAATGTAATTATACTTCATAAACACTAGCCTTTTTTTTTTTTTTTTAATCAGTCAATTCTGTCTTAGAAAATTAAGTTTCTTTGGTGAGTGGCTGCACAGGAGTAAGAACACAGGGTTGCTTGTGAGGAGTGAAAAAAGGGAAATTCTTCTAAAGTAGCTGTTGAGGAGATAGCAAGCGAAGCTCCTTTCAGGCTCCAAATAAGAATGATTCAAAAACATATGTGATCAAACAAAGCTGATGTTGCAATAAAAACATCCCACTGTATGTAGAAATCAGACTAAAAACAAAGTACAAATGAGACATTTGTACTTTTGTTGTTTTCTTTCTGAGGGAAAGGTAATGAACTGATATTGATGCTTTTCTTCATGCATTTTTAATGCTGAAAATGTTCTTTCTATCTTACATTAAATATTCAATTTTTCCTGTTTTCTTTCTATTTTTTTTTCCCTTTCTAGTTATTTTTGCTCATGTTCTCTGCAATGAGTGAAAAGGTTTGAGGTTATTTCTTCGTTCAGATCTCAGCACCATCTGTTTGCCTTGGGGAAGGATGCTGGCTCTTTTGGGGCTACCGTTTATCAGCTTGACCCTTATCTTGAAATTTGCAACTGCACTGTGGTTGTCAACATTGTATTAACTCATGGTGAGGAAAGAACAATGGAACCAATGGCTAGAGTAGCTTTTGTCTCTAGCAGAGGGGCCATCATTTCAACCATTAGGTTTTTGTGGGTTTGTGTCAGGGAGAAATATTAAGAGAAAACAGAACTTCTTCTTTCAGTTTTGAAGGGAGCTAAAGACACAAAGACATCTCTCCCAGAGAAGTTATGAAGAATAAAACTGAATGAGTGAATGTTTCCTTTCAATGTTATTAAAACATGTTAGGGTTACTTTGTTTTGGTTTTGGTGTTTTGGTTTTGTTTGGGTTTTTTGTTATTGGCGATGGTGTTTTTGTGTTGGTTTGTGTTTTTTGCTTCCTTTTTCCTGGGGGCTGTAACAGGTGTGTATGTGTGTGCAAATATCTCATTCTGTCAAATTAATTCTGCTGGGAAAGCCTTTTAGTTTACAGAATCTTTAATTTGCTAACTAGTCATATTGATGACAAGCCACAATAATACTGGAAAAATAGAGTTGTCCATGTACCACTAATGTTCCTTAGAATTAAAAGGTTAATACCTGGAATAGGGACTTCCTCAGTCACTGTAAGGAATGAAGTTCTGTAAGGAATGAAGAATACTTCCGTGTAATTTGCTCTTATCCTTTTTCTCAGACCCATAAGTTTCTCTGAATGTTTTAAATTCCTTCTAATCTCCTACTGGAGATCTGTAAAGTATTCTGTGGATACATGTCTGAGGGCAGCATACATGTGTAGCCTCAACTGTTTGGTTTTTAGTATTTTTAATGCAAGTATTTCTGGTGATAAAAAGTTGCTCTTTTCAATATACTTTATTGTAATATACTTTTTGTTTATTGTATTAGCTGCTTGATAAAACAGGTTAACAGTATTAAATTCTTCAGGCCTGGAAAAAACAGCATGGTGTTCAATAAGGAGGAATAAATCTGGGTATGACGTGTGCTGGCCATTTGAAGATTACCCAGCAAACAGTTAGTTTCCTCTTTGAGGAAAAATATGATTGTTTCAGTTTTCTTACTTGATTAAACTAGCTATTCCAGCAGAAAATCTGCACACTAGAAGCTCTTCAGAAGTTAGATTCCTGCAGACTACTTCCCCTCTGAATATAATGCTTATTGTAAAGGATAATTTATTTTATTCTTATTTCTCTTTATCCATTTAATATACTAGTTTAAGAATCTACAACGATTTCTAACTCGAAGTGGCGTAAAAGTACATTTCAGAGGAAAGAAAACAAAAACAAACAAAAAACCCCAAGCAAATGATATTTTGGGAAACGGGAGACACAGAAAAATCTGGTTTTGTTCATTTTTCACTTAGAAAGGAAGTTTGAGAAATGTGGGATGAAACTTTTTGTGTGGGAAGTTCCAAGCAGTCTTAAACAAAGCAGTTGCAAAATCACGTGACTAATAAAAATCATAATCCATGGTACAGAAAGGTTAGATTCCTAGGTAGGTGGTCTCTGAAACATTCTGGTTGGTGGACCAGGAGAGAGAAAGATTTAAATAGCTTTTATTCTTGATGTTTTATGCTAAATTTCCTGAGGACAGTGAAATGCCCAAGCTGGTGTGTAGAAGGTAAAGCTGTCTCAATTTTAGGCAGTTCTTTAAGGAATTTAAATACAGGTAATATTCAATGGGACAGCTTTCAAGGAGAACATAGATTTCCTCAGTCTCCTGGCAGGCTAATGGCAGATGAAAATTCTTTTTGGGGTAAGTATAGACATAGATATAAAATACAGATTTTGTAATATGTATTTTAATGGTCTAGAGCTACTGATTTGACAAGAAGCCATTAGCATATTAGCTGCCAAAAAAAAGGGCTGTGAGAAGATAGTTTTCGTCACAGCTCAAAACTCACTGATAGAGGCCATTCCTAATAGATTAGTGCCTCAGGAATTTGTATGTTGCAATTGTGAAGCTATAACTGGAAATAAACAGGAGGTTCAAGCTGCCTTGTAATAGGTACCTACTCAGCCAGGACTTTGGTAGATGACAGATTAGCAATTGACCTAAGCAGACTTGTTGGACCAAATCAGAACTGTCAGTTTACTAGAATTCCCAACCCCAAATTAGGACCACAACTAAATGAATCCTATAATAAAAATGTTGTTGACAGTATTTAAAAGATTAGCATAAACATTAGGTGGTTACTTATGGATATCCCTAACCTCAATCTTGGTATGTATCCAGTTTGATGACCACGTTCATTTACTGACAGAATGCAGAGCAGTTCAGGTCGTTGTGGAGGAAGCTGGGTATTAAATGCAGAACAAAATGCGAAGGCAGTAGAGTATAAGGCCTCAATGTGTCCTGATTAATCCATGCAGCATCTTAAACTGCTTGGAGCCTGGACATTGATTTGGTTAATTTGGGCCTGTTTGGCTGACAGATTTAAATTGTTCTGGTGTGATATGTATGCACACATATTTCTGACTTGCCAAGTATATGTCACACAAATGCTGCATCTGGCCTTCTCTGACAGCATTTGGAAGTATGTTTTAAACTGCTCAGTCAAGCAGCTTGTTGAGAAAGACCCTCGGAGAATACAAGGGGCAGATAGTATGCCAGTTAGCAAATTAGCCTTCATCATCGTAAAAAAAATATGTAAAAGGACAGTGGGAGCAAAGACTTTGCCTGTTGAAGTTAAAATAGATTAGATGGTCAGCTTGTACAAACATCTGGCATAGCTGAAAAAAGGAAAGAGGACAGATGGTTGAGAAAGAAAGAGTTGATAATAACCTCTTGATAGCAGCCTTGTGTGGAAAGATGCCATGTTGGCTAACCAACACTTGTTAAGGAATTTATGGGAAAGGCCTAACTCACCAAAGTGCTGAGTGTATGAAGCCCGGTTTTGAAAAATATGGTGCTGAAGTATTCTGATGAAAGGGGTGGTTTGGCTAATCAAGGTGCAGGATTATAGCACCATGCTTCTAGAACATAATTTATGAATGCATATAAAACAACAGATAGGTTTTGTTTGTATGTCTGTGTCCTTGCTTTGTTGTTTTTTCTCATAGATGAATAAAAATCCATCCCTTCAAGCTGGCCTTTAGATATGGCTGTGTCTATTTAGAGGTCTGGCTAGGTTTCAGCTTAGGGTGGAAGTGTGAGAAGTGAGATGTGTTAAAGAGCTGTGAGGTGTCCACCAAACCGCCACTGAGCAGTCTTTCCCTCATTCAAGCTTTAGACCATGGTTCTTGTCCAGAGGATGGAAAACAGCTACTAACATGGTAGTAAAAGTCCACATATAAACACTCGAGCAACAATTCCACTGAGTGCAGAAAGGTTAGAGGGTGTCCTGGGTTCAGCAGTATCAGTCATTTTTCACCTTAGTAGCTGGTGCAGCGCTGTGTTTTAACATCTGGCCTGGGAACAGAGCTGATAACACTGATGTTTTAGTCTGACCAAGGACTTTCTGAGCCTCATGCTCTGCCAGGGAGGAGGGGAGGCTGGAAGGAAGCAGAGACAGGACACCTGACCCAAACTGGCCAAAGAGGTATTCTGTACTGCAGCATGTCATGCCCAGGATGTAAATGAGAGTTACCTAGAAGGGCTAGAGGACTGCGGGGTTGGTCGAGGTATGGGTTGGTGCTTGGTCGGGCTAGGGGGTGACTTATCGGTCGGCTGGAGGTGGTGTTGTATTCTCTTCCCTTGTTATTTCCTTTATCATTACTATTATTGGTGGTAGCAGTAGTGATTTGTGTTATACCTTAGTTACTAAACTGTTCTTATCTCAACCCATGGGATTTGCATTCTTTTCGATTCTCCTCTCCGTCCCTCCAGGAGTAGGGGAAGGACGAGAAAGGGGGGAGTGAGTGAACGAGCCACCTGACTGGGTTTAAACCACGACAGAGGGGGTACATGGTAACGTGAAGTCTGAACCCTCTGGGATTTAGTTACTCATTCTGCCTATTGAGCTGGAAAATCATCTGAAGTAATTTTTCCTGACCATGAGGTCAGTATTCCCCTAAATTCTGCTTGAGTAGAAATTGGTATTTTTGTGTCACCTTTAAAGCTGATTAAATAGTGAGGACTGTGTGGTATATTGACTACTAAAATGCTGGGACCCACTAAAGCATACTAAACTTTGAGCTGCCATGGTTACAGGTATGACCCCTGGGCAAAGGAAAAATTGTAGAGGCTTTGAATTTTTATAAACCTAACTCTTAATCCTGAGAACCAGTTATACTTAACAAAAGATAATTTAGGTATTTCCTTTGTGCTTACAGGCATCTGGAAGGAGGTTAGGTACAAATAGTTCAAGAAATAGGAACACTAGCATGGAGAAATTCTCATATATACATTGAATGGGATCTTCATAGCCTACAGTGATCAGTATGCTCTGGGCTTAGGTTAGTGCCTAAGATCAATTTGGGTGAAATCCCTTTGAGAAAAAGTAGTGAGCCAAGAGCTCTCATTTTCATCCTGGCAATTTAAGATGGTACCCTTTTTGAGCCTGACTGGATTAGATCAGTCTTGAGAGACCTCTAAGCTACTAAACAGTGTTTCTCCTGTTTGAAACAATCGGTTTATTAAAATTGGCTTGTGTCCTTTCTGATGTAGCCAGACGTGCAAGCATTTGTTCCCATCCCTTTGCCTTCAAAGAGACGTGTGAAGAATGTTCTGTAATAGGGCTGCATAATCTCTGCGTAATCTCTCTTCAAAAAGGAAAGTTGAGGATAGGTTTGAATTTTGCAAAATAAGCTAGACCCCAAAATGCATATGTTAGAGTGACATTCAGACATTATTTGTTTCCACACCTGAGGCTTACAGTTCTGCCACGTCTTTTACTGGTTTTCCTCTATATAATCAATCATTCAACTATCCCAAGAATAAACACACGAGACTGTAACATCCAAGATTTTCTTCATTGCTGTATTTGTTTTGGTTATGTGAACTCAGTTTTTAGTGCAGTATGAATGATTATCATAGAATCATAGAATCCCTGGGTTCTGCTGAAATCAAAGAGAAGAAAAGGCAGAACACAAGTTTGCTGATTCACAGCTTGGAAAGGCTGAATATCTTGCATTGTTGTTATTGTTTTGGTATAGTTTGCCCCATTTCAAAAATCTTATGCCACCTGATGTAGATTGTAATGTTCTTTGCAAATTCAGCTCTTTTAAATTCAGTGACTTCTGAGACTATTTCAACATTTAATAGTCCCAAGTCCGAAATAGTTGTATCAAAGCTATAGGTTTCATACCACTTTCACAACAGTGTGTCTTTATGTGTTTCAATCCAACTATAGGATATTACCAGCTTGCTTCATACCATCTATGAAGTAGTTGATGCATCAGTAAATCATTCTCCCAGTTCCAGCAAAACTCTGCGAGTGAAACTTACTGTGGCACCAGATGGCAGCCAGAAGAAAAAGAGTATCTTGTTAAATCATGCTGGTAAGGATGTGAAATCAGCTGTTGGAAAAATACAGAAGATTTCAAGAATCCCTCAAAAATACAACTTCGTATTTTGTTACTACAATTAAATATATACATAAAGGCAAATACTTATGTGGGTATTTGAAACCCCATGAGTCTGCTTTATGAGTGCAAAATTGCCTACCCTCCTCCTTTCAGTGTCCCTTAAGCAAATTAGAGCTCCCTTACCTGATTGATTGTTTCTTTTTGGAAGAAGCAGTAGCCCATATGGTATGTAATTACGTTTGTGTACCACAAGGCAGATTTAAGGCCTTTTCAAGTTGTACCACTTTAACTGCTACTACAACGCCCAGCTTCTGTGAAAGCAGGTGTAGTGGGATAAAATGTTTTTTGCAAGTGCAGAACTGTCACTGCTGCTGGATAAGAATAAGCAATTCAGCATAAATAGCCTTTATGAAACTATGAATAAAAATTGAACTTTTCTATAGTGGCAGAGTCTGCCAGTGAAAATGATGTATACTCTGATGGCTAATTCACATTATATTCACTATAATAAGAGTCGTATAATTCCTTCGGTAGGTTAAGTACTAAAAATACTTATTTAAAGTAATTAAAATATTTAAAGTAATACTACAGTAGAAAATGAGGGCATTTTACCCCAGAGGAAAGCCTTGTCACCTCAGGTTTAATATATCCATCTACTTAGGCAAGTGCAGACGTAAGAAAATTTGTGCTTCTGGGGAGCTCTGTGGTGCATTAGTGCAGCATGAAGCTCCAAGCTTCTGAGCCTTCCTGAGAGACAAGTATATCAGTGTGAATGCAGCTCCATTTAACCTGCCACGTTGCTTGCAGCCTAATGTCCTACAGTCAAGGTTATGCCTGCTTAAAATCTGTTGTGTGGACAAAAGCACTTTTGAGAAGGGTACATGAAATAATGCGTTACATCTTGATCTACCAACAAGAAAAATGCATTTACAATGTGGCATGTTATGCTGATCAGCAAGGACAGTAATGTGAGAATAATGTCCTTTTCTCTTGGCAGATTTGCAGAGTGCCAGGCATAGAGCTGAAAGCAAAGTTAATGAAGAAATAAGAAGCTCTGAGAAGAAGCAGCGGGCTTCTCTCAGGTAAGGGGAAAGAACCCTATGTCCCTATGTCCTCTCAGGTAAGGGGAAAGAACCCTAACAGGCACTGGGTACCTCTGAGGAAACCTCTGCCACTGACTTCTTGTTTGCTTCCTTGCTTTAGTTTTTAAAAGCATACTAAAACAAAGGAATTACAGGATTTTCATTATGGAACCATTAACAGATTCCAGGGGTGAATACTTTGTACATTAAAATGAAACCCAAAAAGCAAATCTGTAGGATCAATGACCCAAATGTTCTTCTGTTGGCTCTTTGGAGGACATGCAGTGCCTTTTAGACACTATCTGCAAATATTGTGCCTACTGGTGGAGTTTATAGCACACCCTTTGGCTAAAAGTGTCCCAAATCCCTTTAATCTCCACAGAGGCCAACTCCTGCCTTTCTCTGTCCTCCACAGTGACTTAGCAAAGGGGCCATCTCTGCTGACTCCCACTTGCTAGAAACCATGCTTCCCTGCTGCCACGTCTCCTTTGCAGAGTTAGTTATTTGTAGTACCTATAAGGAATTAGCCGACTTGCTTAGAACTAATATATTTAATCTAATCTTACAGGAAAATTTGGACTTTTTTTTTTTTCTTTGTAAATTTCAGAATACATTTCACCACTTGAAAAAATATATCTGGTGTCTTTCAATGGACTCCAGCCTGTGTGACTCAGGGTGCAGCAATTTCCAATAAAGCACAAGCACAATGGAATGCTTTTATGAAGAGATGCAGGTAGACTTGCAGCTATCTATGGATTAGATTAAAAAAAAAATAGTTTTAGTTCTTCTCTGATAGAATGCACAATATTATTTCGGATGCCAGTCCAGAACAGGCTTTCTTCCTCTGCATGTGTAATCATGTGTATTTATCGTGTTATCAAGGGTTCTACCTACCTGATAGATATTACCTGCACTGAACTTCAGTGTATGTGATAATCATTTGCAATGTATTTTTCAGGTACTATAATTTTTTACAGCAAAGAAAAATGTTAATCGCTCAGTCACATGTAGGTGTACTATTTCTTTTCTGAATTCAGTATTCTAATGGATAGAAAAACAAATCAAAACCAGATAATTTTGGTAGATTTGGACATAGAGCAGTTGCTCCAAACAGGTCATCTTGGTGTATAGGTTTGATCTGTTTTAGGATTTTAAGTTTAACACTAAGGCAGAGGAAAGTGTTCACTGGAGTGCTACAGCAATGACATTGGATCATTTGTTACATTTGTTTCTTCAGTTGCAAATTTAAGAAAAAAATAAAAATCCACTCTCGGCTTTCCTTGGATTTAGGGGTATTTGTCCAAATATGTAATACATTTATCAGGAGGAGGAGCATTCAGTCTTATTGAAGATGGCAATAAAACAGTGCCTCCCTTTTTTGGGTAGAGTAAAAATGCCAGTGAGTTGTCCCAGTGAGTATATCCCAGTACAATCAAATTTCAGATTAAAAGAAGACTAAAATAATTTCTAATCTTCTGTTAGGAACAAAAACTTCTGTGAACTAAAGAATACTCCATGGTTTTGCTTGCTGGCCTCAATGTAGTATTTAGATTCCCTCTGCCCATTAGCAAAGGTTTGCCCTGTGTGAATTTAAAGGCCTGTTTTTTGCTTGATAACCTGTTGCAAAAATCCCCTTTCAGTTGTAAAAATCCCCTTGAAGTCCTGGTTTTGCAAATGTAATGGTTTTATGAATAGCAGCCATTTCCTTAAATCCACAGTTACAGAAGCATCAAATGCTGGGGTAGAATTTTGGCTCTGCTGTATGTCCTTCTCATCCCTTTGGATAGAGGCTTCCTAGACAGAACAAATCTGTATCTTGAGCTGAGCAGATCAGCGTCAGACAGCTGTCAGTATCTAACAGGTTTTGTTGCATCTCATAAAATGTGGACAGGACAAAGAATGTCCTGTTCACACTGTGTGTGTTGCAGGGATGTTTGCACACTCTGGCCAAATTACTAACCCTTAAGAAGGCTCCCTGAGACTCGTAACAGAATCTCACAATATTAATGCAGCGGCTTCTCCTTTGAAAGCAGCAATGAGGACTTTGTGGGAAGTGCACACATTTCAGAAATTCAGTCACTTAGGAATTCTAGGCAAGATCTGATTAATATTCAAGATAAAATGGATAGAAGTGTTTTTATCCTGAAGGTGGGATATAGATGGGTTAAATTTTTCATCTGCTGGAAGCTACAGGCAATTTTCCCCTTTAGGGCTAATGCAAGTAGCAAGATAAGTAGCTACATTCATAGCTAGTTTGCCTGGCATGTGTGGTACAAAATGGGTGGTGGAAGAGCACTGGCAGGCAGCTTTGTGGGTTGGGAATCTTTGTGCCATTCTAGTTCATATTTCACACCAGCCTCTAAAACATCTTTTCATCCACAGATACACATTCTCGCTCTTTCTTTCCTGCTGAAGTGATTTCTTCCTGACTGGCTTAAATTCTATGCTAACAATGAGCATAGCTTTCAGGAAATGTCCTTACGTTTTTCTACCCTGGGCTTGTCACTGTGCTATTCCCCTTGCTTCTATATCATTGTGCGCTTATTACCATAAGCATGACACCCCAGGACAGAAATTTTAGAAAGGGCTTTTGTAGACTCCACAAACACTTAAGCAGATGCCTTTTTTTAATTAAAAACAAAGCCAAACTAAAAACCAGTACCAACACTGGGTATGTCTGCACACCGTGCTTGATGCATGGCTAGTGCATGCCTGTGTCTTTCCATCTTCCCATGTGTACGCAGGAGATCATCATGGGGCTGGATACCAGATGCTTCAGTTCTCTGACTTAAATTTCTCTGTGACAGTAGAGCACAGCTCTCATCAGTATATAATTGCTTCACAATTTATTTGTGCCTGAATATTGTTGAATGGCATCTTGCATGTAAGAAAGCTACTGGAATTCGAGAGTGTGGCAGTACTGGCATAGTTTTTCTTTACTGTCTTGATGAGAGATAGAATTTATTAGTAACAAAAAAACAGGTTCCCTGCTAACTTCATTTTCAACAGACAGTGCTGTATACAGTGTTGCTTTATTGTACTGAATCAAACCCAGAGATGTTTTTCCTCGGTTAACTGTGTGTTTTGCGCAGCATGTGCGTGCAAGTCCCAATGGTTTCCACAGGCAGTTCGTGCCTGGCAATTCAAATTACCCAGGGTCTATCCCCAGATATCTTTTATGTAGACCTGTGAAAGTGTAACAACTTGTGAAGGTGTGTCTGGGTCAGGAAAGATACTGAGTTGGCTATGTAGCCAAAAGAATAAGGGATATCTGGACATTTCCTCGTTTTTGACAGTACTGCATGTCACTTCTGGAGTTCAAGCTGACTCAGAGTCTTTAAAGCATACCTGCTAGCCGGGCAGACTCTCCTGCATTCAGGAGACTCTACCTCTATCAAAGTAGAGCAAAAATCATCTTCCAGGTAGGTCAAGTCTTGTGACTTTTATCAAAGATACTGCAGGCCTCTGTCTGACAGTGACACAGGGGACTCGGTTCTGTAATGTCCCTGAACAGTACTACACTAGACCAGGAAAGCAGTTTGTGCCAAAGCTCAGTGGGATCAGCAGCCTTTGGAAACCTGGAAATGTGTTAATAGACTTAAAGCAGAGTATTAGGCACCATACAGTATAGAGCCCAGATTTAGCAACTGGTGTAGGATACAAGGCTAAATTCTGGTCTAAGACTGACATCAGTGCAATCTCACAGGGAAATAGGAAAGCCCATCTTGTGGCCTTGGAGACTGAACTATCTGAATGCCAGGCAGTCACTTATTCAAGAGTTGACTGCTTATCCTATTTGTTATATTGAAAATATTACTCATATCTGCAGACATCCATTTAAATTGCTGAATTAAATTGTTCGGCATTATGGGCTACAATACTGTAAACCTCTGCCTGGTTTTTTTCTGCCTCATAAATGAATGGTATTTCAGATATTCATTCTCAGGAAATAGTTCTGCTATAAATAAGATTGCAAAGCCAAACAGGAAAAGGAGCTGAGATTCTGAAGCCAGTTTACTATCTGACCCTATTAATTGTATTTTGGAAAGTGGTGGTTATCTCCCAGTGCCCTACCAACACTCACTACCAACTTCACTTCTCAGGCTCTCTCTAGTTAATAAACCTGTACTGTTGCCTTTCTGCAGCAGATACACATGACTAGCCTGATATGAGGCTTGCCCCAGTGCTTCCTCACAGTGGTGGGAACAGTCATGAACCAAAAAGTAGGTTTTCTTTGGCATGTCCAGATTGAGTTGAATGGTTTGGCCCTAAGTCACAATGTAATAAACCCTAGGCAGAGTTTTATTTGTTTTTGCATGCGTAATGCAATTTGAAGGCCTCCCTTGCTTTGCAACTTTGGGGTTGATTTATATGAGGGGAAAGAACAGTCAGTTCAGGCCTACCAATTTAGCAAATCCGGTCATCCAGGATTTCAAGAGTTTGTTGTTTCTTTGTGAGCAACTCATGTCACTTCAAAGGGGCCATCAGTTGCTGGTTTGCAGATGGTGATAACAACTTTAAAGAAGTTCTGCTGAACTGTAATGTTGCTTCCTGCTGACAGATATCACCAGAGTGAGAGCAATCCAGAGCAAAGTGGGTGCTATCGTCATTGTGTTGATGAGAACATTGAAAGGAGAAACCACTATTTGGATCTTGCAGGAATAGAAAACTACACATCAAAGTTTGGGCCAGGTAATTTGGTAATTTACCTTTTCATCTTTCCTGTCTTCAGTTGCATGTTCCACATCAGGGGCAGTGAATTGTGAACCTGTGTGATTTGTTTGTAGTGTCTTACTGTAAGGAATTGGACTGTGTGAATACTGCAAGATAATTACTAGTGAAGGTGGTATCACAATGGAGTGACTAATGTTCTGCAAGCCTGCTTTGAAGTGCTTGTTTGTGTAGCTGAACTTGGAGGTGAGCCTAGGAGAACAATCTCTGCATCTAAATACTTAAGTTTAGTCTATGGGTGAGGCAAGGACTGATTTTTGGATGTTAGAGTTTGTTCTCAAGATGTTACCAACATATCTTTTGTGCTTGCTACTGACCAAAAAATGGAATGTGGGTTCATACCTGGAATTTTGGCTTTTGTCCCCACACTAAAGAGATTTACATTTTCTCCCTTTCCCTGTCTTGTGCCAAGATTTTGCTATTCCACTCACAGTTATTTTGGTGAATTTCAGATAGATGATGACTAAGGCAAGATAATATAAAGACTTTCATACACACATGTTCACTCCTATATAGATATGTACTTGTCTGTGTATTATTTACTAGCCAGAATTATTAAGTGTAATTAAACTGGACAGCTATAATTGCATTCACTTCCTTAGGAAAAAATCACTCTGCCAATAATGCTGTCCCTGCCAACTGCATGCTACTAATTAAAACTCTGAAATACTAGATGACTAACTCAGCTTGTTATTTCCTAGGATCTCCTCCAGCAGCTCAAAAACATGACCCACCATGCAGAGCTGTGAATCAGACTAGATCCCGTTCTCATGAACCTGAAACCTTCCATGCGCACCATAGGAAATCTCAAGTGGTGGATCCAAGCCACATCAATCTGGCTGAAAGTTCGTATGCCAAGATTGCAGAAATCCAACAGAGGCTGCGGAATCAGGACTCCAGCAAGCATTTTGTGAGGTCTCCCAAGGCCCAGGGCAAAAACATTGCCCCTCTGCATCCTGGAAGGGCAGTTAGAAATAAACCTTTTCAAGGGGCACCCATGCCAATGGCTTCCCCTAGTGCAAGGGTGGGCCAGAATCTTCCTTACCTCCCCTTACAATCTCAACAGGTTCACAAGAAGCATAAGCAGAGGGCAAAGGAGAATCACCAAATGTGCAAAACCTTTCATTCTCCAGGGACAGTTGTGGAAAAGGAACATGTGAGAGACCTACCCACAGTCATTTTATATGAAGGCCAAGTTGGACAGATGATACAAAGACATGAACACCACCACCACCACGAGCACCACCACCACTACCATCACTTCTATCAGACATAGAAGAGATCCCACCAACATCCTCCAAGAATCATCCCATATGAAGGAAATGTGTTCTTGTGATACCAGAACTAAGGCATTACTATGATTAATATTATTGTTACTCCATTAATATTCAGCTAGCATATATTTTAGAGGATATACAGAACTCTTGAAACTTACCCTATTTATATGTTGTGGAATGGCATAGCTTACTTAAACACCTTGTGGGTTTTGTTTTTTTTTTAAAGTGGCTGTAAAACAGCAAACAGCCATAGCTTTTTGAGCTGTGATTTAACGCAGGTCATCAACGCACTTCTTTAAAAGTACTACTTCCACTGTAGTAGGAAAGATACTTCAAACACTCTTGCAGACATCTAGCTTACCACTCTGCTGTATGTCGGCTGATCGCACACAAGCCTTCTATCAGGGGAGCAATGTTCGAAGGGTTGGACTCCAGAGATACTCGGAATAATGGAAAATACAAACAGCTGCTACCTCTAGTATTATTCAGATTTTATTTTCTTTTTATTGATTGTAATGTGCTACAGAAGGGGAATTTTAATATACTGCGTTTGTGTAGCCTGTTTGTGTTCACATCCTTTCAAATTATCTTAATAATTACAAGGAAATATTAGCTATACTTATCAACAGAGCTACATTTGTATGACTTACACTTTATTTTCTTGGAGATTCTTCACTGACACAAATATAGTCTGTTATATACTGGGTAATATTTAAATTCCTTTTTTTTCTTTTTCTTTTTTATTTTTTTTTTCTCTTGCTTACTCTCCATCCTGTTTGGAGTAACCGTTTGAAAAGAGGAGGATGTGAAATGGGTTTTTCAAAAGCATCACCAAACTTTAGTGTTTGGGCCATAAGTACAGTTCTTGGGGGTTTGAGAAGGAGAGAGGTTGCTTAGGGTTTTGTTTTGTTTAAATCCACAGTTCTTTGTTTTGAGAAAGAATTGAGGAAAATATACTTTCTCACTTTAAATGTTGGCAAATATATATAAAGTATAAATATAAATATATATATATATAAATATGCACACTCTCAGGTACATTTTGTTGTGTTTTAGAAATCTGTGGTTTGAATATTAACTTTTTTTATTTTTTTCCATAACAGTGACATTTTAGAAGCATATACCATGGCATTTTCTTAGGTGGCTCTAATTTAAATTTCCCCAGCACCTACCAATATTTGAGACAATTCAGTATGTAAAAAAAAACATCACTCACAGTCATTCTGGCCTCTTTTACTTTTTCCATATCATAGGGCTTCTGTTCCATGAAGGAGAATGAGACCATACTCACAAGACCTTACTGGCTGCTGAGAAATTGAAGGCCAGAAGTAAACCTGAAAAGTGAAAAAAAGGGTCAGTAGTTCTAGTTCTAGGTCAAGTTCTAGTTTCTATGGGGCCCACATCTATAATATATTCAGTTGTGTTTTGTACAGATCACCATTTTGCAGGTAGAAAGTGACTGAAAAACACCTATATTGCTTTTGGAACATTAGAGAACTCCTGACATCAAAATATAATTGTTCTATAAAAGTATTTGCTTTTGGTTTTAATTATTTAAAGTGTTGTGGTATTTTGTCTATAGTATATATATTGTAAAATGTAATTATCCCACATTGTTATAAGCCCTTTATGATTAGGGTATTTTTTTTTCTGACTAGAGCTTTGATCAGTCCAAAATGGGGTACTACCCCATTACAGCTGACTAGTTTTAGAGGGATGTTGTCCTTTCTAAGAACATGGAGACATCAACTTTGAAAGAAACATTTAAAGCCTCGCCTTCTTGTGGAATTGGAATAGAATCGCTGCTTCGTGGTAATTAGGTCCATCTCTTGTCTCTCTGGATCAGCAGTTTAGACTTATTGTCCTCTTTAAAAAATCTGGTTTATTTTATTTTATTCTTTTTTTAGCTGTCAGCAGTGTGTTCTGTTAAATCTAACAAACTGTTTTTAAAATGTGCTTGATCTGTGTGACAACTATACTGTTCTGTTTATTTTTAAAATTCCTAAAGTCCAAAAATATTTACATGCAGAATTTTCTGTATTAAAAATATGAAAAGGCCACAAATTTGGTTAGTTACCACTGAGTTGTTCTATTCTAAAGCCTTTTTGCTGCTTGTGTATCATCCTTTTTCAATGTATATATGATTATGGACTGCAAAAAAAAAAAAAAAAAGACAACATTTATATGTCTAGTAGAAGGAATAAGCTTATTTATATTATAGTATTAACAAAGTCTGATGTATTCAAGTAACTTACATTATACCGCATGCAAAACACAAAAGTGTACATTCCGTCTAAGAAGGGATGCCATGCTATTTGTTTTGAAGATGTAATTAAAGCTGTTCTCTTTTCAGGGTAGCACCTGCCAGAAAAACTGGGAGGTGGGAATTATTCTTTAGTCAATTTTTTTTAACACAGATTGTTGCCGAAAGCCAGAAAATGTTCTGGAAAACAAGAGTGCTTTCAGAATTGTGGGGTTTTCTAAGAAGGAGCAACAGAGGGGGATAAGTCTTTCACCCAAAGATATTTTGCTGGAAAAGATAACAGCACAAATAACAAAATCCTATCTGATTGAAAAGTGTTCAGTACTAGCTTTGCCAAGTCAACTCTGAAGTGTAACACAACTGACCATTGGTTATAACCTTGCATTGATTTGCTTTGGTTTCTTGTATTTGGGGATACAACAGACAAATTTACCTTGCTCAGATTCTGTGAAATACAAATACATTTTAATAACATGGCATCCCCATACTAAAACTTGACACCAGCCATCTATGGACATACAGTATCTACGTACTGTGTTGCAGTTGTGTTACGTGTATTAAGTGTGAATAGCATGTAGCACAGCTTTTTTTAACAGAATCTTAAATTTCTGTATCTTTAAAAAATGTTTGCTTTTCAGTATTTTGTATAGTAAATATAGATGGTTTTGACTAAATGCTTTATTTATTTAACAGCAAAACCTGTGCCAAGAGAACCCCCTGGTAATTAAAGTTTTGCTAGTTCAGAAAGTAGATTTCCTTCTTGTTGTGGATTTCAGGGGCTTATTGCAATTGCTGTCAGTACTTGCATGTCCCACTGATGAAAGAGTTCGCATTAACATGTTTGGGAACAGGATCAGGCCATAAGGTATGGACTGAGTATGCTTTGGTTTTATATTTAAGCTATCAAGTTTCAAAGTTAAATTTCTTGTCCCCTACTGTTAGACCTGTGTCGAATAACTGATTTTTCAGCTTGTTTTTAAATCTGAAAACCATTTAAAACTTACATGTATATATTTCTTTAAGTTGCTCAAAACTGTGGCTGAATTTAAAATAGATTAGTTTCTGGTTAAACAAAAAATTGCATTTCTGAGAAAAAAAAATTATTATTATTTAAAAGTAAAATGGAATGGCATAAAGTAATTCCAAATGAAAACTCTAGTTTTTTTCACTTCTGTTTTTAAAAAAAAAGCAATTCAGCAAAACAAAGTGAATCCCAAAATTTGCACTATTTGCTGAGAAAAATTTCAGTGGAAAAATTTTGCTCACCTTTACCAGCTCCAATTTTTGGGAAGCCAGGTTTTTGTGAAAATGAAGGCTGCTAAGCTCTTGTCACAACTTCATGACCAGCTTACACAAAGTAAACTAAACTAAGCGTAATGAAGTAAAATCTTTGTCCTAGTGAAATCTTTGGGAAGACTGCCAGATTCCCACTGACTTCAGGGTGCCTATAATTTCCTTCCAGGAATGTGGGTTTGAAGTCTACATAATGTGCAGAGAGTGATTTCAGTATTTATTTCTTATGCATTTTACTGCTCATGGTTTTGTAGTAGCTAATATTAAATGGAAATTTTACTGTGAGAGATCAAGCTGGTAAGTTAATGAAGATTAGCAGCAAATATTGTGCTTTATACTGATGTCACTGGAGGACCTCAAGGCACTTCCAGATGTTTTTGAAACATCCACATGTTCTTTAGTCATTATTAGATATGAAGACCCAGTTCTGCCCTCAGATGATGAAGTACCAGTTCTCCTGGCATATTGGCAGACCAGCCTCTTAAGGCCACACCAAATTAAAAAGCCAAATACGTGACTGGTATAACTGCCTTCCTACTGTAGTCATAAGCACAGAACAGCAAAGTATAGCTGGAGTACTTTAAAGGTGTATATGTATGTGTATATATATATGTGTGTGTATATATATATATATATATACATGTGTGTGTTGTCTAGCAAAAGTTAGTGAATGGCACAAGGTGGATTCTGACAGAGGTGATCTTTTGTAAAGGGATAAGTACTGTGTATGCTAAACAGTCTACAAGTTGCCACATAAATATACAGATATGACAAATGCTTACTGTTCTCCATATCTCATTGTGTACCTCAATTATTGAATGACAGATTTCATTTGTGTTCCAATTAGCAGGAAAATTAGGCCCTTTGTGGCCAAGACTATACATCAGAAAAATTCATCATGCTAAAAAATTTGCCATGATTTTTCTCTGGAATACAGGCAAGAATGTTCATGTTTGGAAACGTGTCAGCTAAACAAGTCTCACCTTCAATTACCTTGATGCAATTCATCAAGATCTGAAAATATGTTTTCAAACATGACATATTCATGGTTTTGCTGGGAACCAAGTCATATTCAGCATCCTGTTAGTTGTCAGGCTCCCTTTTGTTTCAAATGTACCAAGCAGAAACATGTTTTAAAATCCAAACACTTAATGTGTTTTCTAAACAACTTCTGGAAGATTTCTTTTTTAATGCACTTAGCAGCAAAACCAGCCTCAGTTTATCAGGTTTTTTGGTGGTGTTTTTTTTTTTTTTGCATATTTGACAGATGTTCAGTCAATTTAACATGGTAGGGGCTGGTTTTGTAGTTGTTTTTTTTTTTTTTTAAATGTGCTAAAATTAGGTAAAAAGAACAGACACAAAAAAAGCAAATAACTTTATACTGAAATTGTTTAGTAGACATTGAAATGCGTCTTATTTGAAATTTGGATTATAGTTATTAAATAATGAGGTTTTCATTTATGCTTTAATTTACTTTTTATATTTCCATATAATTTAGATAATTTGATCCTACTGAGCTAAAATGATAGAAATCATATGAATGAGTTTTAAAATATGCTTTAAAATAGCAGGATTTAAGGACTATGAGGTAGATTACTGTGAAAGAGCTGTGAAGAAAGACTGACAAGGGAATGATGGAAAGATTTGAGATATGTATGGATAGCATAGAACTGTCTGATAGAGGTGCAGAGGGAGACAGACAAGAGGCAGGAAAACACTGTATGGAGAAACTATATTCATGTTACTTTTTTTAATCTCTTATGGTACATTTATTGCTTATAAAACAGCAAGAGTAGTTCATAGAATGCTTTTCACTGGGAAAGCTTGAAGACTTCCTAGAAGAGGTCAATCTCCAGTGTGCAGTGGGAGACACAAGGAAGAGAAATTGTAGATAATCACCACTAGGGCTGTAGCAGGGTAATAGATGATGCCCTGGTTCCCAAGTCCCTGTCCAAGCTGAGGGAAATTTTTTCAGAAGCAGAGGAATGTGTTTCTACAGATGTTTTCAATATTCCTGTAGAATGTGTTTTGAATAGTAGCCTCGGTTCTTTTTCTGTTTGATTGCAAACATACATAAGTTGGTCAAACGTTGCCCAAAGCTTCTATATCTTTTAAGGGGATTAATAAATTTGGCAATGGGCAGACGTTAACAAAAGCAGGCTTAATGCTAATGATGTGCACTGTGCTTTCTGTTTTTCATGACATGCCTATGGAGTGGGGTCTGTGTCTTCCTCTGAGTGCCTAGTCTGTATAGCCAATGCAGCCTGTAATTGCTACCAGCTAAGAGATGTACTCTTCTGGTGAGCCTGTACTTTGTGGATGAAGATAGGGGTTCAGATCCTTCTGGTGCTGAGTGCTTATTCTTACACTTAATCCTTCCCATTCTGTTCCATTCAAGAAGTATAGCACTCTGAGGCTTTGTGAATTTTCTAATAAAACACCAAACAAACTGGGCCAAATTTGTCTTCAACTTCACAAATGGAAGCCAGAAATGCCCCATGCATGTCTTGGAATTTGGACCTTCAAATGCAGTTTGCTGTATGAGTCATCATTTTTTCTTGTACTAATTTCAGATATTTGATAAGCTCTTTTTATTGTTTACAAGTTTAAAATGACAAATAAAACTTTGTAGATTAAAATGTTGTTTTGGAGGTTGTATTTTGTCTGTTCTCACTGGAGTTCTGTGAACTGTCTTTCTGTGGGCTTATAGCTTAAACCTACAAAGTGTCTTTGGAGTGAGTGTTTATAGTTCTTCACTTTGTTCACAGAATAAGACTGTTGATAGATGAATAAAGTGCCACTTGAGGTTGTTAACAACCAGGACTGGTAATGCCAGTGCAACTAAGATAAACAGTGAAATGCTATGGCAATTGAGCATTAAGGTCTCACTTGTCCAGTGCTGATTTTTAAAGCTGTAAATACAGTGCTTTATAGATACCCATGGCCATGGGGACTGGAGATATTTATTCCACCCTTCTCTGAGTGCTGTATGGACTCCTGTGCAATGCTTGCCCAGGGCATCCTTGCATACTCAACATGCCATTAAGAAGCAAGAATATGAAAATTGTAATGTTTCAGTCTGAAGCAATTAACCCTCTCACCCTGCAAGGAATAGAGGGGAGGAAAAGCTCAATAAAAGAGACTCAGAATTTCCAGTAAGTGCAAAAGTTTGAAGAGAAGCAAAAAGCAGCACTGTGGGCCTCTCATTCCGTCTCTTTACAGTCTTCTCAGGGATTTTTTTTTACTTTTGATGTCTATAATCACAACTTCTTGCTGTTTGAGTGTGCCATCTGTTAAGGCCATAACCCTCAGCGGCTCTGCATACGTGACTTATATGGGTTTCAATGGAAACTTTGTGCAGCTTTACTGTATCAGCAGATGTAAACAGAGGTACTTCAATTTACACTCTTTTTAGTGTAGTTTAGGCTTGGAATCATGGCCCTGGGACACTTATAGCTTGCACTGATCAGGGACAGGTTTTTATAAAAATTTTCCTGGTCAAATAAATGGATGCTAAAATATATTAATTTAAAGATTACAATCTTGACAGCTTAGGAGTCCAAAATAAAGAGTCATTTTAGCTACTGACTATGAATTAAAAGCATAAGTTACAGTGTTTTCAGGAGCAGGGCAAGACTTTCATACCTCAGTCTGATAAAAACATCATCACTGCAACCCCTTTCCTTATAACTGAATCATAAATTCGGCATTCACAGGATACTATGTGACTGCTGATCTTTCTAACAATAGTAAATGAAGTTTACTTTACTTGGAGCTTTTGTTCATATAGATACCACTTTTATTGCCCACAAATGTAAAGGAAATCCAGTGAACAGCAGACCTCACCATGAGCATCCTGTGTGCCCTGTTACCCACCTCCCCGAGGATGTGCAGGATGTAGTCACTCCAAAGGAGCGGCCTGAAATTTCCAGGCCCATTAACTATTTCCAGGTATGTTCAATATCTGTGTAACTCTGACAGAGAAATTTTAGGAGTATGAATGAATTCAAGGCAAGTAACTCTTCCTCAAGAGAGGCATCAGTTCCTCATACTGCCTGATCACTTCCCTCAATGCAAGTCTGTGGGTGCTCTGGGACACGGGACAAGCAGATGCTGATACTCAGTAAGGCCATAACTTCCAAAATGTTCTCCCATCCCTTAAGTCAGGGATAGGAAACGTTTTGAAAGATGTCACTGTGAAAAGAACTTGAACAAGACAATTATTTTTTTTTTGCTGTTGACTCTCTGCTGTGCCCTTTCATGGGTTTAAAATCCACTTATCTGAAAGTCTGCAGTTACATTTTTGTCCTTTTTCATCATTTAAATGCATCTTCTTGATCTGAAGAAATAAAAGCAATTTTAAAAATTAGAGATTTTGTTT